AAGTACACGGCGTACTGGACTACTAGAGTATTCCCGAATGAAAAGTATGCGGCTGCTCAAAGGGAAATCGCGAAGGAAAATCACGATCAGAGCTCTCACTCCGTACTGGTCGCCGTTACCGCTGTTGACTCGCTCCGGCAACGTCCCTTGTCTTTTGACTAAACGGAACGGATGGATCGATGGATCGAGAATGGCAGGTACTCGACGGAGACCGCAGAACGTTCTGAGTGCTTCGACTAAGGCATGCGACTTTTCTACATTTTGCTTTTGGTTTTTGCTTTGCTTCTACCGATACATAAGAAATGGAGGCCATTGTCATGTGTCTCTTCCCTTGGTGCAAGGAACAACCCACAAATATATAAGGACATTTTTTAATGATGTTCTCCCTAGAAAAACATTTAATAACAATGTATAGTGGTATGTAGTCATGTTCCATTTTAAAAGGAGAACCCGAATCTCAAACGGCAAGTCCCAACCTATATTAAAGATTAATTAAATTTTCACTCGTGGTAAGTTTTAGTTGTGACATCCAATTTAACATATGTTTCTTCATTTTGTCCAATTTTTAAAAATTGCTATCACTTTTTATCCCTTCTAAAAAATGGAAGTCCTGATTGGTTGGCCTCACATTTCGGTGCCAACTTGACTGCGACATCACATGGTTTATTTGCCCTTTAGAATTATTAGGTTATCGTTGTAATTGCTTTCATCCAATTTCCCTCGAATGAAATGAACATCGTGCCTTTTTGGACCATTTTCATTACAATGTACTATATACCAACCCTTCTGTCATTCTTAAAAAGATTGTGACGTGGCAATAAACCCCACAACTTTTACTATGACACAGTCAAGAATTATGTCTCGATTAAACATCACCCATCCAACATAACAAATCAATAGAACACATGATTGTCACTCACTTGATCTCTTCGTAAGAAAAAACATCCATTTTTTGGACACCGCAAACTCATCCACCTGCTGTGCAAATTCCAATTGCAAGTTGTCCATCACTATGCAAACCAAAGGACAGGCTGGCAGACAATTTCCCTCCAAAAAATATAGAACAAGCGAAGAACCGGAGAAGTGAGAAAACTCTCTTATGAACGGTTTGCGAGCCGCTCAGGAGAACGTGTGTGCCGGTGGACGTCCACCATATAACGCTGCTATACAGACGACACTGCACGCACGATTGTTGCACGATGCCTCACATCCAGTCGATAAAGCATAGCATGAAGTGCAGCTATCCATTTGAGTGTGAATCGTGTATGATTCGTCCATGAAGTGCCGGGTGTGAAGTAGTTTCACTACCATACGATCTGGGCCACCAACGCGCACTGTTCCCTGCTATATAGGCGTTATATCGTGCTTATCCGCTGGTTTCACGCAGATGCGCCAGTCCATATTGTCCAAATCACAAGAGAGGAATCAAGGCCAATGATTTTGGCAATATATGAGCTCAACCACTGAATCGCTATTTCCACCATTTAGTACATTTTCAGCTGATTGGACATTCCTCCAGGATTATGCAGCGAGCTGAACAAATGAGAAGAGGTCGCCTGATCCATCGACGAATGCTTGCAACTCTCCCGATGACTCATATTCTCATTTGTACTTTTTTAATATGTATATGGATCTTTGCTCACCGTATTCTTTAGTTTGCATATAGAATGCATGGCCATATCAACAACAAATATGGTGATGAAGATATATAGTGTGGAGCACTGGAGCTTCGTATCTACCATGGTGATGAAGACATATAGTGTGGTATATAGTTAATCTTGTTTGGCCAATAAAAGTTGGTGGAATATTTATTCACAGGTGAATATCATAGGTTGGTTGTACAACTGTACAAGGCTTAAGCTGTTGTGCTCGTAATAAAAATTATTCAATATAGTACTTTAGGATTACCCTAAGAGGATCATAAGCCTAGCATTAGAGCACCTAATTTACATATGACAGAAGGGGATTTGCGATTTCTTACTTGTACTTAGCTAGGGAACCCTTGTTTCTGCTTGATGTGCACCTTGTGTAGTCCATGGCTACACCTTGCGTTGTCCAGCAACATGGAGGTGGTCCGGGAGACCATAAAAGTTATCATTGTACACCCTAGCTTTGCCGGAGGTGTCTTAAGGTCCGCATGACTTTCCTTACCCTCAGCGTCCCTACAGAAACACCAAATATCTGCATGATCTTCCGGTTCCATAACACTCGTAGGAGCAAGATCCTCGCACAAGCAGTCAAGTCACCTGAATCCCCACTCGGCTAACAGCACCATCGTCAATCCGTTTAGTAGCTACAGTTGTTTTTAGCATTGTCCATGACGATTAGCATCCAGAGAAACCTCAATATTTGCAGCTTTATGGAGAATGTCCTCCTCAGAAAATTTAAGAAAAAAAATATTCTCATTAACAAACATATATGTAGTGGGCTCAATGTCAAGAAGCTTTCTTGCCCGCATAGCGTGCCCCATGTCCAGCACATCGACATCTGGGCGTGCTTGAATCCGTTGACTCACACACGTATCTGTCGAGCTAGGACCAGGAATCCCACCTAAAGCCACCAAGTCTGCATCAGACAAACAAACAGGAGCAGAACCATCAACCACCGCTGGCCTGAGCGTGTATATGAGCGCTTGCGTCTGTACTGTATCTAAAAAAACATGCTCACAAACTGAGGGCAACATGGGCCACTACAGACCTAGACACTGAGCCCAGAAGTCAATGCGGGCCCATGCTATATATCTGGCTAGGGGAGTGTGGTGGCGAGGCCTGGCCGATGCCGATTGCTAATAAGAATCGCCTACAGGCGGCGACAAGTGGACCAGCCCATTAGTGTACGTGGTTTGTTGAATTTGGCCTGATCCAGATTTTTTTTCTTACTTCCTCTATTCCACAATGTAGTGCGTCCGCGCTTCTTGATATCTAAATTTGACCATAAATTTAACCAACGAGACCGACTACGGCAGAAGCAAAAATTAGATCACTGATATGAATTCAGTGGTATAATTGTTGCTCCCGCCACAGTCCGTCTCGTTGGTTAAATATATGGTCAAACTTGAATCTCGGGAAGCACGGGCGCACTACATTGTGGAATGGGAGGAGTATATTTTTTGTTGCTTTTTCACCGGCTTTCATTGTTTTCCTTTTTTTTGTTATACTAGGCTTTTGATTTTTGTTTTTCCACTGTTTTTTTGTTCTATTTCTTTGCTATACTTTGGACTTCTTTGTTATTTTTTTATTTGTTTCTCGGGTTTTTACCGGTTTTCTTGGTGTTTATTCTTTCTTTGTTTTCCATCGAGTTTTTGATTTTTTTAACACATGTCTACATATTTCATAAGCATTGTACATTTTTCGTGTATGGACCGACAATTTTGTTATACCAAACAGGCGTATAATTATCAGTTCATCCTTTCACTCGCTTTGTACAAATGATGAGTCTGTTCTTCTTTAGTGAGCAACAAAAAAGTACTCCCTTCTTTAGCTCTTGCTCTGTTTCTATGGCTTGACTTTGTGTGTGAGCTCAGGTCTGGATCTTCTACTTCCCCACCCATGCTGACTGATACTCTATAGACACGGGAGCTTGGAGCTGGAAGAGGGGAGGCAAGACGCAAGCGGGGTAAAGAATCCGCGACGCGTCAGGAATGTCCACGGGCGAGACCGGAGACGCCGACTCTGACCGGCACATCGCGGGAAGCAAGAATGAAACGAGAGACTGACGGAGCCGGAGAGGTGGCGCGCAGGCGGATCGGAGCCAGGTCTTTAACAAAATAGAAATTAAATCGAAAGTATAGCCATAAAACTTATTTTGGTTCTCTAATGTTTGCTTGGTTCCTCGGGTATAGAAAAAACATGGCGGCTCAACCAAGGCATTTACCCAATCCACATAGGGAAGGCAAGCAGAAACTGGGTTGATGCGACAAACTTGTAGTCACAAACTCCTTCCTGATGACCTTTAAGATCAGCACCTATTCAAAACTCGGGCCAACTATCACAAGCTAGCGGTGCGAACGACTTCTCATTAGTCTTCAGAATCATGTCTAGTAGACCCCATAGAGCTAATGCTTATATTCAATCACGTTGGATCCGCAAAGGATGTATTGCTTTTCTCCTGATTCTCTAATTCCTACTTGTTTGCGTATATATTTTGCTTCTCTCTGCCTCTTCTCATCTCTATTTCCATGCTTGGTACTTATTTATCTTCTATCATGTCAAACAGGAAGAACGAGTATAAATATGAAAGTGTGGATGAACTATTGGGACCTGGTATATGCTCACGTGAATATTGACTCACATATATATGAAGGGAACCCCTATATATACACATATAGGTAAAGATAGGTGGATTATTTATTTGGTTTTGTTATTTGTGTCTCAATTCATTCATTTATTGAATGCATGTGTGCTTTTTTTTGCAAAAAAGAAGGCATGCTTTCATGTAAGACTGAGACTGCAGCACGTGTATTGCTGGTTCTCCTAATGAAGAAGGTGTATTGCTGGTTCTCGCGTATTTCCTCACCTACTTTAAGGAACAACCATTCTGACAGACACAGTGATACTACTTGACATCAAAATGGAATTAGCTCAAGTCTACACTCTGTTTCTGTGCAACATTGCTAAGCAATACACGTGCACGTGCAACATTGGTTAGTCTACGCTTTTGCCAAGTTGCAAGTTTGGTATGTCAAATCGAGCTCTTACTACAATTCCGCGCACGTGCAGATGCTCTGGTTTTGTTCTCCGCTCACTGTAATTCACTTCCTCTTCCTTTTGAGGCAGAGGGTGAACACGCATTAGAGAGCAAGTTTTTGTGCCGCATGGTGAGAGGAACCTGCCAATTTTTGGCGCAAGAATTACGGTTCAAATTACAACATAAACATCACCAAAACAGACGTATAATTTATTATCAGTTCACTCGCATTGTACAAATGATGAGTCTCTTCTTCTTCTTCTTCAGTAAGCAACTACTCCCTCCGTTCCTAAATATTTGTCTTTCTAATGATTTCAACAAATGACTACATACGAAGCAAAAGAAAAGAAAAGACACCCCGTCCAGCTGCTCAAAAGTCGTAAGAAATTACACTCTCGAAGCAGTTGAGGCCGTGGAACTCGGGCGCGAATCGGGTCGGCCTGGTCTCCGGCTTCCTCTCTGGCCGCGTGCTCTGCTCCACCTTCTCATCCTGCTGCGTCTTCTTCTCCGTCACCTGTTTCCCGCCGCCGCTCCGCCAGGACAAGCGTGTGCCGTACCCTGCACCAGCGATATCTGCCGGCGACGAGCTAAGGATTGAAAAAGCCAGCATCTTGTCCATGATCGATCAGCCGAGTGGCCTCAACAGAAATTCCTAGCAAGCTTGCTCTGCCTTGTGTAGCAGCACGATTCTTCCGTTCAGCTTTGCTCTGTTTCTCTGTTTTTGACTCTGTATGTGAGCTCAGGTTTAGATGTTCTTCTTTCCGAGACACATCGTTTGATATTTACACAGCGGAGCTTGGAGCTGGCAAGGGGAAGGCAAGCGGGGTGGGTGAAGGACGCGGCAGGGATGTCCATGGACGCCGACGGGAGACGCCGGCTCTGACTGCCACACGGCGGGACGCAAAAGCGAAACAACGGTGTGACGACTGGGTTTGATTGTTTACGGAGGGAGACCCAGAGTCGGTCAAGCTTAGGATAGTTTATGGTGGGAGGAGATGGAATGGCTGCGAGATGCAACACTTGGAGTCAGCGATGGGGTGCCGTGTCTGGTGATGGGAAGGCGGCGTGGCATGGCTTTGACTGTTGGGCAATTCCCCATGACACCGCCTGGTGCAGTATTTTTCTAAAGAGGCGCGCATGGTCTTCTTTTTCATTTAGAATTTTGAGAGTTTTATTCGACGAAAGCATTTGCCGAGCAGTCTGTCTGCCACGAGGTTGCTGATCAGAAAATAGGAAGTCCTTCAATCCAACTTTCAGTTGTTTTCACTGGGAATATGAATATGCAGGACCGTTAGCCGATTTATGCAGTCTGGTTGAAGAAGTTTTTTTTTAGAAAAGGATGAAGACCCCGGCCTCTGCATCTAGGCGATGTATGCAGCCAGATTATTAATCTCTATCTATATCTATATCCATACCTACTAATAAAGTAAGGTACGTTTCTTTAATTTTTTTCATCCGTTCATCGTCGAAAAGATTTTTTTCTATCCTAGGTGGTACTAAACTTTTGTGCGTCTATCCACCGGAAAAGAATAAAAAGTTTGTCCAGAATCCCCTAGTGGGCCCGCGCAGGCTTCGGCCCAACGAAGCCAGCCCACTTATTATTGCCCACGTAGTTGAGAAGATCTTATTTGGCGCATGGAGCGATAAATAGTTGAAGTTGCCCACAGGGCGCCTATGACTGGACCGGCTCGTTTCGTCCTTTTCAATGTTCTATTTCTATTTTTCTTTTTCCATTCCTTTCCTCTTTCTATTTTATATTTGGTTTTTCTTTTTTTTATCCTTTTTTAGTTTTATTTTCTCCGTCAAGTAAAAATTCAAAAAATATTCAGCATTTCAAGTTTTGTTCAAATACTAAAAAATGGTCAGAACTCATAAAAAAACTGATTCAAAAAATGTATGAGACTTTTAAAAATTTCCTCTTTCAAAATTTTCTCTTTTTGAAAAAAGTATTTTGTTTTTCTAAAATTCTTCTTCATTTGTTTTCTCAAAATTTCATTACATAAAATGTTCCACATTATAAAATATTCTTGTTTTAGTGAAATGTTCACAAATACAAAATAATGTTTTCGTCTAAGAAACATTTTTATAAAATTGTTTTGAATGTTCGCCTTATAAAAAAATCAAAAATACAATTTTTTTTTGTTTTTATAATATTTTCGTGTTTTCAAAATATTTTTTTTGTGAATTTCCAACACTATTAATGTTTATAATTTTGTTCGTATTTTTCTAAAAATATTGGAATTAAAAAAAATCAATTCATATTTTTTGAAAATTAATCGGGATTTAAAAAATTGTTCTCGTTTCCAAGAATATTTGCCAATACATATTTTGAATGTTCAAAAAAAATTAAAAATATTTTATCTGACACAATAGTATTTTCTTAAATATTTTGTGCTGGCCGTTGGTTAGCCGTGCGCGTTCGTTCTATGCTGGTTGACCATAAATAAAAAAAATGTGGGCACGTGCCAATAAAATAGAATATGTTGCTTGGCTTTAATTACAAAAAAATTATGGGCACTTGATCACTATAATAATCAAAGAGAATAAACCCTCAAAAAGAAGGGACAATCATGCTTGACTATGCTAATGAAACGGGATTTATGTGTTGCAATTAATAATCCACCTGGTTACGTCGTCGTAGGATAGAGCGATTGAAGCAACCATGTCTCGAAGGTCGCCGTGCAACCACCAAATGAGGAGGCAGGCACAACCCTAAGATGGAGGCAGACCCGGAGGAAAAAAAAGGCATGAGTCAGGTGCTCACCACCACGCCAACCAACCGCACCACTATCAAGATTTTCTGTGTCAAACATGTCCAGCGAGAAAATCATAACTCCTTGCTTTGTCGCCAACCATTGTGGAGACCCTTTTTGGATGACACATATATTATCTTTTCCGTTGCTTCTCGCAAAAAAAAAAAATTTCTCCCGTTGCAACGCACGAGCATATGTGCTAGTTATTAACAAAAGACTTTAGAAAAAAAATACAGCAGTATGTCTGAAGCCACCGTCTAGGCAACATCTGTCGCTACTCCTATCCAGTTGATAAAGGGGTGCTGATAATCTGGGCTTAATACCAAACAGATCTTGCAGCCAAGGTTAACATCTAATACCGGAGGCCCCAACCAAGCAACTTGCCGAGTATGGGGCACACACCGGTCCAGCACACACACAGTGACCGCCACCGCCAACTGCCATCAATTCATCTTCAGAGCTGTACTGACGCATTAACCTTGCCCGGTCTAGCTGCTGTCGACACAACCACGACGCCAGACAACGCCACCATATTGCGCTCGTCCATCAACACATGCCCAGCAGTGAGACCCCGCTGCTCCATGCTGCTGAGGCCCAGCGTGTCAGATGCAACGCCGCTCCTCCGTCGCGAACGCCACCTGCAGCTGATACGTCTCCAACGTATCTATAATTTTTGATTGTTCCATGCTATTATATTACCCTTTTGGATGTTTATGAGCTTTATTTTACACATTTATATCATTTTTTGGGACTAACCTACTAACCGGAGGCCCAACCCATATTGTTGTTTTATTGCCTGTTTCAGTATTTCGAAGAAAATGAATATCAAACGGAGTCCAAACAAAATGAAACTTTCGGCGGCGTTATTTTTGAAAAGATTATGACCCAGGAGACTTGGAGTGCAAGCTAGGGGAGTATCGAGGGAGCCACGAGATAGGGGGGAGCGCCCACCCCCCTGGGCGTGCCCTACCCTCTCGTGGGCCCCTCGAGGCTCCCCCGACCGACTTCTTTCGCCTATATAAGCCTACGTACCCTAAAAACATCAGAACAGAAGATAGATCGGGAGTTCCGCCGCCGTAAGCCTCTGTAGCCACCAAAAACCTCTCGGGAGCCCGTTCCGGCACCCTGCCGGAGGGGGAAGCCATCACCGGTGGCCATCTTCATCATCCCGGTGCTCTCCATGATGAGGAGGGAGTAGTTCACCCTCGGGGCTGAGGGTATGTACCAGTAGCTATGTGTTTGATCTCTCTCTCACTCTCTCTCTCTCTCTCTCTCTCTCTCTCTCTTGTGTTCTCTCTATGGCACGATCTTGATGTATCGCGAGCTTTCCTATTATAGTTGGATCTTATGATGTCCCCCCCCCTTTACTCTCTTGTGATGAATTGAGTTTTCCCTTTGAAGTTGTCTTATCGGATTGAGTCTTTAATGATTTGAGAACACTTGATGTATGCCTTGTCGTGTTTATCTGTGGTGACAATGGGATATCACGTGCCACTTGATGTATGTTTTGGTGACCAACTTGCGGGTTCCGCCCATGAACCTACGCATAGGGGTTGGCACACGTTTTCTTGACTCTCCGGTAGAAACTTTGTGGCACTCTTTGAAGTACTTTGTTTTGGTTGGATGAATCTGAGATTGTGTGATGCATATCATATAATCATGCCCACAGATACTTGAGGTGACAATGGAGTATCTAGGTGACATTAGGGTTTTGGTTGATTTGTGTCTTAAGGTGTTAATTCTAGTACGAACTCTTGAATAGATCGATCCGAAAGAGTAACTTTGAGGTGGTTTCGTACCCTACCATAATATCTTAGTTTGTTCTCCGCTATTAGTGGCTTTGGAGTGACTCTTTGTTGCATGTTGAGGGATTGTTATATGATCTATCTCTGTTATTATTGTTGAGAGAACTTGCACCAGTGAAAGTATGAACCATATGCCTTGTTTCCTACCATTGCAATACCATTTACGCTCACTTTTATCATTAGTTACCTTGCTGTTTTTATATTTTCAGATTACAAAAACCTTTATCTACTATCCATATTGCACTTGTATCACCATCTCTTCGCCGAACTAGTGCACCTATACAATTTACCATTGTATTGGGTGTGGTGGGGACACAAGAGACTCTTTGTTATTTGGTTGCAGGGTTGCTTGAGAGAGACCATCTTCATCCTACGCCTCCTACGGATTGATAAACCTTAGGTCATCCACTTGAGGGAAATTTGCTACTGTCCTACAAACCTCTGCACTTGGAGGCCCAACAACGTCTACAAGAAGAAGGTTGTGTAGTAGACATCAAGCTCTTTTCTGGCACCGTTGCCGGGGAGGTGAATGCTTGAAGGTATATCTTTAGATCTTTCAATCGAATCTTTTTGTTTCTTGTTTTATCACTAGTTTAGTTTATAAAAAAAATACAAAAAAATGGATTTGAGTTTGTCTCATACGCTTCATCTTTTTAATATCTTTCGTGAGTATGATGGAAAGGAAATTTGTGCTCAAGTGCTAGAAGAAGAAGTCTATAAAATGCTTGGTACTAAATCTTTGTATGATGAGCATGATTGCAATGTTGTTAGTATGAATTCATTGAATATCGATGATGCTAATGATATGCAAAGCCACAAGCTTGGGGAAGCTATGTTTGACGAAGATGATATTTTTTGTCCCCCAAGTTTTGATGAGAATATTTATTATGATGAAAGCATGCCTCCTATTTATGATGATTATATTGATGAAAGTGGATTTGGAGAGGTCATGACTTTATTTAGTGATGAATCCACTATTTCGGAAGAGGTTCCAATTGATTACGGGAACAAAGTTGCTATCTATGATGATTATTGTGATGACTTGTATGCTATTAAGAATA